AATATTCAAGGAGTATGCCTAATGGGACAAATTCTGTTGTAGGCTGTTTTCTGTGCATCCCTACTTACTGCTCTAAGGCTACTGAGGTATAAGCCAGGCCAGAATTGGTTCCACAAGTCCAGTGGGAAAACGGCTAATTGGTTAAGTTTGCTCTGGTGCCTGAGTACCAGTTGGCAAATGCAATAATAGAGTCATAACCATTTCTGAGAATGATTTGAGATATAAAGGTTCCCAGCAATACTTAAATAGGATATGAGCAAATGGTTCAGAGCCAAATTCATTCCTAGTTCAATTCCAATAAAGCCAGTAGAATTACAGTAGGGATGATTTTGATCCCATTCAATATGTCAGAGGCCAGTCTCTCAATACGTCTAACCATAAGCTCTTTTTTAAAGCAACCTACTCTTTTTTAGACTTAAATTTGGACCTGCCAAATGCTGCAGCTAATGAGCATTTCTTAACTAAAATATTGTGCAGAGTGTGTGTAAATGCTGCGGTATACAAACAAGACTTTTAGTGAAAAGTAAGATCCAGTCCATTGCTGTCACAGGTAACTATTTGCTTAACATACTATTCTGTATTTTATGTTTCTTCTGCAAATAATTTATATGATTTAATTGGCTGGTTATTTTTAAATCTTTAGGGACCACTGCCAGAGTGGTACACATTTTTCAGAAATGTTATTAAAGTTGCCAGCTGCAATTTATATTCTGTATCTCTGCTCTTCCCTAAGGAGTATAAATGTTGTATTCCTTTAATTTTGCTTGAGAGTTGCAGTATTATGTTCCAATTTCAGAGTGATGGAAAAAGATGGCTGCAGAAATGAAATGTAACCATCATTCTGATCAGGAAATCAATTTAATATTTCGAGAATTATTTTTGAAGCCATGGAAATGGTACCTTTTTGTACATCAAACTTAAGAAATTCCCTTTCATGTCAATAAATTACCCATCTTCCTAGCTGGACTCATACTGTGATATAGCTTATTTTAGTATAAGTCACATTTCTAAGCTGTTACTGGTAGGACCTTTGACCTTCTACATTGTTTTGAAACATTTGTGGTGTCTTGTATTAGGAACCTGGCTACTGAAGATAAGATTCAAGCATCAAATCTGAGACTGTGAAGGAGCACAGAATACAAAGGGAGTGTACTGGAGAGCCCCACTATACTATGATTCTATGAAGGCTCCAGCTGTTGCCAACATTGGTTTTCTGAGTTATACAAGTCAAACCATAGAAACATATTGCTTCCCTATGGGCAACGAATTGGAAAGGTGCTGGTTAATATATTAATCATCTGGATAGGGGAATAAACGGTGGGTTGATATTATTTTCAAACTATATAGCTAGTTTATTGATGGTCTTGAGTTAATGGACTACTGCAGTCAAAACAGATTTTACAATATATAGAGTGGGTGGGGTAATCATAATGATACCATCATTAGATAAATCAATGGTGCCGCTTCATTTAGAGTACTACATGCAGGATTGTTCACTTCATCTCCAAAAGGATATTGAGAATTACACAAGGTTCAGAGAAGGATAAAAATGATTAGGGACCTGAAAAAACTCTCATAGAGAGAGATGGAGAAGACCCTGTTTTCTGCAGAAAGGAGATGAATAAGAGAAGACATGTATATAAAATAATGAATGATGTAGGGAAGATAGTTTGGAAGTTTCTACTCTCTGTGATTCATAATACTAGAACCAGACATAATAAATAGGTGCATTGTATAAAATACATGGTAGCAAATTCTAAGATGATAAAAGATTTTACTGATCAGAGCCTACTTCCTCATCACCATGTCAGATTCTGACTTATTATTATCTTGGAGTGCTGCTAACATGTTTATTAGCTTTGCCAACTGCTGATAAGATAAAAGCATTAGATTTAATACACAATGCACAGATAACGGCAGCCTGAGAGAGCACTTGAGCTTCTTACGCTTTTTTTCCAGGTGTGCTAGTATTCTGAATTAAACTGACTGGATTAATTAAACATGAAGGATTCTTGTCACTGACTGCCTCTTACCAGCAGCCCAAATCTAACACGGTAAGAAGTGGACCAGCCAGTGAGAATTAAAAAGGCCACAGACATGAAAGTGTCTGCAAAGTGAGACACTGCATCCCAACCTAATCCCCAAAGCCATGTTGTGAAAGATATAATAAATGTTCCTGATCAGGAAAACACTTAACTGCTTAAAGGTAACTCAGGAAGAAGGGCTACATGTCAGTCCTTCGGCAGTATCAATGATTTTGCAAGACAGTACAGACCCTCCCTTTCCCCACAAAATGCCCTGAGACCGTTCTTTTCAATAGTGAGTAATCCAGAAGAATGAAATAGAGCCATGTATGGGGAATTATACACAAGCACAGGTAAAGTCTAGAGCCTTTAGTCTTTTCTCAGACTATGGGCTGACTTTTCATGTATAGAACACTGTAAGCAGACTGACCCCAAATCTTCATAGAGCAAAGATGGAAGCTGTATCTTGTACTGTCTTCCACCCCTTTTTCCTCAGAAAATATTAGAAAAATGTTTGCCTCTTACCTTGTTAGCTTTGTTCCAATCTGCTGCCTCAGTTCGAGTCTTTCCTCATCAGTCTGCATTGGGAGGATGTTCTTCTCCTCCAGTTCTCTTTTGGAGGGCCTGTTACTAAGTTTGATTGCTAAGGAGTCCTTCCTGCAGACTTTCATTGCCAGAGAACCTATGGAGGGAAAGACAGACCTTAACAAAGGAGGTGTCACCATCTTATACACTAGCATAAAGATAAATAATCAGGAAAAGAAGAGCATAAAAATATAAATTAGGCCTTCAGGTACATAAGTGTGCATCTGCTTTAGTGGTGTCACTGTTTGGGCCAATGGGCTACAGAGGTTAAGATACAGGTAAGACTCAAGTCTGGCCTCTTTAACTCCTCCCAAGTCATCATGAATAGGTTGTGCCAAACTAAGAGTACCTGAGACTGAGGCAATGAAGAGACATCACATTTGTCCCAGAAGAAATAATTTTGTCCCAGAAAAAAGTGCAGACATTCAGATGTCAACATCCACTGTCCCCAGGATAAACCCTACAAAGGTTTGTGGGTTAAGAAGTGTTGACAGTTTGTCCTAAGACATCACAGAGTATGTCTGAATGGTTTTCCTGGGATTACGTTATTGGATTATTTCCTGGGATTATGGCACAAAAGCTGCCATGCATTCAGCTAGCTGCTAGACCCTGATTTGAAGAGTGATGCAAGTACATGTAAATCCTGAAACATCTCTCTTCCAGGACAAACAGACACAATTGGCCCTAGGACAAATGCAATATATGTTCTTAGTTTGAAAGTCTCATAGACAGTCACGCACAACATGGGCTGCATTCTGCTAGGTGAAAATAGGGTGATTCTGTTTTGTACTTGTAAATATGCACGCCAGTTATTAGTTATTTTAAAATTATCTTTTTCTGAATGACTTTGTACTACTGAAAATAAAAATGATTCATTTGAAAAAGAGTATTATAGTCAATATCACTGCCTGCAGGTTCTAGAACAGAAGAAACACAGGGCAGCTGAAACCCTGGATGAACCTGTAGGGTGAGAAGTGGTACATGAAATTAATTAAACGTGAAGGATTCTTGTCAGTACTTCCGGTCCACTTCTGGGTCCACTGGGGAGTGTGCTGGGCCTCCCCCCCGCCATGTCCACCAAGCTCAGTGATCAGCCATGGGGGGACCCTGGGTACCCCCCCAGACCCAGAAGGCACCAATTGCTGAGCCAGGGGATGTGGGGCAAATTTAGAAAAGCATGTAGCAAATTCAGAAAAGTGCAGAAGTGCTGCTGGTTTCTAACTGCAATAGCAAGTGTCAAATTTAACTCATGTTATCATTAGTGGGTCTGATTCTCCATGACCTTGCACCACCTGGGACAGGTGCAGGAGCAAAATGATACCCAATAAAGGAACAGTGTTTTACATACGCCATGCTGATATTAATATTTGCACCAAGTGCAGGGCAGTGGCGAATCAGGTCCCTATTGTAAGCAGGAATTTCACTCTCGGAGCATCTACACGTTCATTAACACACCTTAGTTACTGCACTTGCCTAATGAAGTACTAAATGCACAGTAACTAGAGTTACTGCTCAGTAGCACCAGCGCACGGTTATTTTGTGATGCTTACTACGCATTAACCAAATCACAGTGCGCAGTGGCTATTAGCATGGTTTGACTGGCACGCCACTGTGCAGTGCTATTAGGCTAAAGTGCAGTAAGCATCTCGTGTAGACACACTCTCTGTGTGATAGCTTAGGCTTTTGTAATCTCTTTCTGAACTTCTGTATGTTGGTGTAAGTCAGGAATAACTCCACAGGTGTCACTGGGATCACATTGGGTATAACACTGGAAAAGAACCTCAAATCAGGCTTCTGCTTTTGAAGTCAGTGCTTCCAGGACTAAATAATTAAAAACAAATATGAACACAGCGCACAGTGCAGCCCACCTTGTCAAATCTGTATTCTTAACGAGTCCAGGAAGTCAAGTAAATAGAACTGGCCCCATAGTTATAACAGAAGCGTGTACCTGTATTATTGTGATCTCAGTGCACATGCTCCTCCTACATGTATGATCCATGCCAGACAACATAGCAATGTTACTCAGATTTAAAATAGCCCCATATATAATTAGCTATAATTTCAGAGCCAAAATCTAAGTCCCTCCTCATTTTTATTCAATTCTTACTTTGACAAAAATCCCAGAGCGAAATCCTGAAGCCTTTGCTCGGGCAAATACACGCTGACTTGAATAAGAGTTTACCTAAGGGTATGGCTGTCTGAACACTTTACTGCATGGTAAGCTAGGCTGTGAACTTAGGTTTGTGTTACGGATACTGTAGTAATTGCCCATATAAATTCTCTTTCCCTGCAAGAAATTTGAAGGTAGCTGATTCCACTTGCATAGAGAGGCAATGTGCATGACACTTATCGGATGTACTCTGGCCCTAACTGGCTGCATTTACACATGCACTTAACTGTGGAGTAGACTATTGACTGCAAAGTAAAGCGTCATTATCTACATGTGCAACACTATTAGGCAACTGTAAACTAATTTACACAGCCATAAGATAGTACTGGCAGAGTAATTAACTGCAATTAAACATACGTGTAGATGCTGACTATGGGCATAAACTGCACCCAGTCAGCCCAGCAAGCAGGGGCCCTGCCTCTTGCCTGCTGCCTAGCCACACAGCTCTGCATTTTCAGCATCCTCATGCCTCAGGGAGCCCTGCCATCACCATCCAGGGCCTGGGGATGACCTTCTGCCCTGGCTCAAATCACTGCTGTCCCAGGTGCACAGTAGAAACTGTGTCTGGGAATAGTTTACTTTGGCTCAAACTGCTCCAGAGTTTATTGCTTAGAATTAATTGCACATGTAGATGCACCCACTGGCTGCGTCTATATAAGACTGACTGAGCAGTAGCCCAAGACTACTGCACAGTAGTGTAGCATGGCAGAAACCATGACATGATGCTACTGCACAGTAGTTTCAAGCTACTGCTCAGTCAGTATGACAAAAAAGCTGTTCATCAGCACTACCATACAGTAATGCAGGTTACTGCACATTTAGTACTTGCTTAAGCAAGTACTAAATGACTGCATAGTAACAACTGCGGAGTCAATATCTTGTGTAGATGTGGCCACAGACAGCTAAGTTAAACCTAAGTAAGAGCTGAGATTTGGTCCTGATGCCTTTAGGTTGTATTTGTGCAACTGCTCAATGCTGGTCGACTTCTGATCCTATAGGCTGTGTTTGTAAAACTGCTCCGTGTTGGTTTATGTCTGATTCTGCTAAACTCACCAGAAAAAATCCTTTTGATTTCAAAGGGAGAACAAATCTGAGTGCTTCTGAAAAAAAACAGCTCTTTGAAAGAAGTCATATTTGGGGATTTCTTTACTTGACAATGCCCCCATTAAAAATATAGGTAAATATTCTGACATTACCTAATAAGTATAGAAAGGCAGGTTCTTTCAAAAGTGTCAAATTTATACTGCTATTACTTTAAAAAAGATCAGTGGAGTTCAACACCAGGCTCACAACAATAAATCCATAGCACCTGTTTTTTTGTGGGTTGAAAATTAACTAAAAAAAATAAAAGAAAGAAAAATGATCATTACTTGTAAATAATGAACTGTCATCATCTTCATCCTCCTCCTCTTCTTCTTCCTCTCTCGTATAAAGGCAGGAAGAATCTTCGTAGTCAGATTCATGAGGCACATTTTCTTTATTGTCATCGCATTCGATCACAACAGTTGGCACTTGTCTCATGTCTGAAAGGCCGCCAGGTCCTGTTTTCATGACACTGTCACCAGAGTGTAAACCAGAGCTAATGGAAAAGGACAAGAAAAAACAAATGAAGGAACTAGAATTAGCTGCATAGTTAGGGCTGCTTTTCTCTGAAGTCAGGGGTGTATAACTGCAGGCATTTTTTGAGAAAAGAAGGAAGGAGAGAAACATTTTAGTTATCAACAAGAAATCCAATGGACTAAAATATGATAAACAGAAGAAATTAAGTTGGGAAATTAAAGGATGATTCAAATTTAAAACCTTAGATAACCAGGACTGAGAGGCAAAGGACCTATATTTAAACACAATTTGAAGATATAATGGAAATCTTCCCACCAGCTCCTTGTGATGATTAAGCCTCCAGTGTGTCTTTCAGCCTCCTGCTGGCACTGAGACAGTGTGGAGGAGGTTGGTAGCTGATTCAGATACAGAAAAGATAAAAGTCAGGCAGAGGAAAGGGAAAGAGTAGTTTTGGATAAAATACATGGGGGGCTGGAGGGCAGAGAACAAATTATCTGGACCGGCTGGGGCAGGAAATAGAGGTGACAAATCAAGGGGAGCCTAAACTGGAGCTGGGGTGAGAGTGATTAAAGAAGGACTGGTTGTGTGGAGAGGCTGGAACTAACGGGACCAGGAAACTGAGGCTGGGAAGCCAGGGAGGTGGGATGCCAGGACTGAGAACCAGTGAGAAAAATGGAGGCTGTGGAAGAAATTTGGTTGGAGGTGCGCACACTGAGCTCAGGCAAGGAGCTGGGCTCATGGGGTGACTGGGACTGGCTGGAGAAACATACTGGGATTAAGAACCAGTGCATGGGGGAACCCAAGTTTCTTAAGTCTCACCGTTTCTCTGATATAGGGAAATAACGGCCAAGACCATTGGCAAATGGTGTGACATTCTTTCTCTGTGGCCTGGCCCACACTAAAGCTGCTGTCATTTCTTCCATTAGCTCAAGTGCAGAGGTCTGTGTGGTAGATCAGAAGGTTCCAACCTGGCTGATGAACCACAGAGGGTATCAGTAAAATGCCACATGAAGAAATTTGGAGCCCCCGCTCAGGTTACTTAAAATATCTGGGAAATTACACACATCTACATGCACACCACACCACTCCACACAATTAAAATAATATTTTTAAGGTTGCAAAGTGAAGTGCCAAAAGTTAAGAAAGTTGAATGTTGCTCTGGAGAACTGATTTTGCTTCTGTCTCCATCACAGAATTCCTCTGTAATGCTAATCAAGTAACTTAAATTAAACTTTTCACAGATGTTTTACTTAACTTTGCATGCCTGATTTTGTGGGTTCCCAACTTAATACTCTGGGGTCTGACTTGAAGAAACCTTGAACACGAATGGCTGAAACAGTAGTCAATGGGAGCTGTGCACTGAATGCATGAAGTGCTACAGAAAGCTAAGTACTCTGGAAACTAAATCAAGTTCTAGGTGTCTCAAATTGGGCACCCAAAATTCATACATACTTTAAACATAATATGTGTGTGCTACTTCTTTATCTGCAAAATGAAGAGATGACCTCTTCATCTACCTTCTTCCCCCTTCACTATAGAGAAATTAATTAATAGTGGTGAAACACTCACACTAGGGTGATACACATGAATACTATGGTGATGAAACCATGAGGAAATTAATAATACTGTCTTCAGATCAGTTCAGTAAAATAAGAAGAAAAGCCTCATATTGAACAATGAAGATAAAACAAAATATAGAATAGTTGTGCATATAGTGATCACTTTTCCTTCTGTGCACTGAAGCAGGGGTCCTGTAAAAAAATAGTATGCAATAATGGAACTTCAGACCGCCTTATAACGCATATGTGCAGTAGGACTGAATTATAGTTGCACAGGTGGCCTCATAGCTGACATTTCTTGACTTTGACACTTCAATAAAGATCTTTTAAATGCAGTTTTTGTGTGCATACATTACTTATGAAAAAGATAGAGACAGACAGACATTAAAGCCCTGGGAAATATCTAGAATTCTCTATCAAGCAAGGCAAGATTCAGAAAGCCATTCCAAGCTTGCCAAATAATTTGAACTAACAGATGGTTGTAAACTCCTCCCATCCCTGCCCCCTCCTTTTTATTTTTATTTATTTTTTTTTGCATTTTGCATCTTCTGTCTTGGGAACAGGTAAGCTGAAACAGAATGTACATTTTGAGGGGTTTTCTTCTTCACTTTATCTGGGATACAATGGAACAAAAGATGAATGGGGATAACTGGATTCATCCCCATTCAACCCCATGTATCTGAAACTGCTGGCTTTCAGATGCATACAATGAAGGTCATGTTTAGTTAGAGAGTATCAGCAAGGAGGTCTACAGGAATGAAAAAAAGAGGTGCAAATGCACACTGGTACTGTCCGTCTATACACTCATGTGGGAGCCTCATGGGTCATTCTCTGTTTTGGGAGAGATTCTAAGTTAGATTTACAGAAATAATGAGTCACTTGTGACATCCCCAAAAGCCAGGCACTGGGGAGAAATGTATTTATTTTATTTATTTGCATTGCCCTCTAACCATTTAGTCATATTTCTGCTGGAAAATCATATCTTAGGCTGTGATTTCATTACTTCCTACACTTTAACAGGTATAGATGTGTATTACTGGTATTTAGCTTTTTCATGCATAGATCTTAATGCACTCTATAAAGAAAGCCAAGTGTCAACAAAGACTTTTTTTTATAGATGGGGAAATTCAGACACCACTGGAGCCCACTCCAGCAGCAGGCAGCTCCCAGAAGCAGGGAACAATCTCAAAGCCCCCACCAGGAGACAGCTGTCTCCTAGCCCCGTGCTCCCTGCCAGCCCCAAATGGGCGCATGTGTAGACATCTGCCCAGGGTGGGCAGATTTACTTTTGAGTAAATTACTCTGGAGTAAATCCATCCAGCAGCATTTGCACATGTAGACGCACCCACTGTGATGTTTGGCAGCAGAACTATAGTGCTACCCAGCACGTCTACACGTGGCAGATAGTCGAATGACCTTCAGGGAAGGTTAACTGTGAAAGCAGCAGAATTTACTCTGATGAATAAGCAGTTGTAGACCAAGCAGCAGCAGCACCCCCAGGATGTGGTGGGGACAGCAGATAGCAATATTCTTTCTCCTGAAAAGTCACATATATCCTCTAATGGTGCTGTGACATGGTCAGTACAGGTTACCACTATAATCAGCCTGTCTAGCCCCCAGCCATGGATCTACAAGTCCTCAATGGTGGACCAGCTGGAAGAGGATGTTAGAATCCCAACGGCTGTGAAAGTGGATGAAGACTGGAACAGAGGGAGATCTCCAATTGCTTTGGCCTCCTTGTCATTGGATCAGGGCCTTGTTCTGTCAAGAACCATGTGGAAGATGATAAGCAGTAGCTTCTCTATGATAAAAGAAATCACACACAGGTGTCTTCCATGAAAATGGATTTAGCACAGCTTTCACCAGCTTTCAAGCCCTTTGGCAACCAACTAGCAATGACAGGACCAGGTTTGTGAGGCCTGGAAACTTCCAGTCATGAACTGGCATGTAGGTGGCAGTTACAAGAAGGTCATTTAGCACTTGGATTGGCAGGAGTGTGATTCTGTAGCTGTGAGTGAGCAACACTTTTTAGGATCTGCTCCTCTCACTCTACATGGGGAGGGGGCTAGAAAAGGTGGCTTAAGCATAGTCTGCCTACCCACTCTTTTCCTGACTGGATAACTGCATCCAGTGGGATCACCTTTACTGTGGTCAAAATCAACAAAGGCATACAATCGTTTTTGGGACCTGGACCATCAGGACCCTCCTGGGCAATCCTAATAGTGAGTGCCACACTGTAATTATGGTTTGACAACTCAGGTGACACAATGTTGACATCACTGCACTAAGTGGGACCCAGTGAGCAGGAGACAGGCTGCTCAAAGAACAAGGAGGTGGCTATACCCTCTTCTGGAAGGATAAACAGGAATGAGAACTCTGATTTCAGGGAGTTGGCTTTGCCATTAAGAATGAACTCATAAACCAATTCAAAGAATTTCCTATTGGAGTTAATGAGCGCCTCATGACTCTCCATCTTAAATTGGCAGGGAGACAACATGCCACTGTTATCAATGCAAAAGACCCAACTCTTGATGCTGCCGATGAAACCAAGGAGAAATTCCACACCAGCCTGGATTAAGTCCTCTCTGATGTTCCAGAGGAAGACAGACTTATTCTGCTCTGTGATAACAATGCTAGAATTAGAAAGGACTCAAACCTCTGGAACAGAACCATCAGCAAGGAAGGAGTAGGAAAGATCAGCTCCAAAGGCATCCTCCTCTTGACCAAATGCATGGAACATAGACTCACCATCACCAACAACCTGTTCCTCCAGAAAAACAGGAACAAGATATCATGGCAACACCCACAATTTAAGCATTGGCACTTGATTGATTGCATCATTGTTTGCGCCCGGGATTGCTAAGATAGCCACATCACTCAAGCTATTGAGTCTACAGGAGCTGATGTTTGCTGGACTGATCATGGACTTATCTGCTTAGTTATGTCACTCAAACTGGCTCCCAAATGATGGCTGTAGCAGAAGCAATGTCAAGGGAAGGTCAACATTGAAGGACTCAAAAAACCAATCAAGTGAGACCTCTTCCACGAAAGCCTCAACAAAAAATTGAAGAATTCCTATCAACAACAATAGGAGAATGCCAGCAGTGCTTGGGGTACCTTCAAGTCCACAGTCACCTTTGTCTGCAAAGAGACACTTGGATTCACAACCAGGAAACATCAAGACTGGTTTGATGAGAATGGCTAGGAGATCCAAGTGTTGATTGACTGTAAGCACAAGGTCTTGTGTTCAGTGAAATGACATCAGCTCCAAGGAAAAGAAACTGAATCACCAACAAGTCAAAGCAGAGGTCCAAAGAGGACCCATGATATGAAGAACACTTGGGGGGAAGACTAGGTGAGAGAGATTCAACATCAAGGAGATTCAACATCTCACTGACATCCATGATATACATGGTTTTATTAGTGCCACCAGAGATGATCTTGGAATCCCTCCAAAACT